GAACCCAATCGACACAACGTCCCCCATTGCCGCACAGTCCGTAGCTCACTCCGAAGTCGATTCCGTTGCCGAGACTCCCAAAACCACCGCTCCTGCGTCCCGCTCCAGGAGTCCTGAACAAGACTCCAAGAACCAGGCTACTGCCCACGAGAACGAGATGGCCGAGCAAGCCCCCATCAAGGTCAAGAGCGTCTGCTTCGTCGGCGCTGGCTTCGTCGGTACGTGCTGTTCCCTTTTTCCCCTCCTCGGCGGGCCTTCTTTGATCCTTGTCTCGCGGGAACGAACGCGAGAAAACTCTCTGCCTGCAGCCCCCTCGCTCTGGTCTGCTTTGCTGGCGACCCCACCAATTTACCTCGCGGACCCGTGGCTTCGGGAACCGCAGCGGCCGCAAAATCCTACCAGGACCTTGTCCGAACTGTCACGCTGACTCAATTCGCTACCCCTAGGTGGTCCCACTGCCGCTCTCGTTGCCTATCACAACCCCGACATCATCGTCAATGTCGTCGACCTCAACGCTGACCGTGTTGCCGCCTGGAACTCCCCCCACCTTCCCATCCACGAGGCTGGCCTCCCTAAGATTGTGAGGATCGCCCGTGATGGCACTCAGAAGACCTCGGCTATCCTGCCAGGGCTCGACAAGACTGTCGAGCTGCCTGCTCGTCAGCCCAACCTCTTCTTCTCCACCGACGTCCAGCACGGCATCTCCACCGCTGAGATTGTCCTGATCTGCGTCAACACCCCGACCAAGACCTACGGTATTGGTGCTGGCTACACTGCCGATCTCAGCGCTGTTGAGGGTGCCTCCGAAACTGTCGCAAAGTACGCCAAGGACGGTGCCGTCATTGTTGAGAAGAGCACGGTTCCTACGGGCACTGCCCGCATGATCCACCAGATTGTAGGACTCTCCCACCCGGGCGATTTGCCCAGCATCAAGCTAACCCAGCTGTCACCTCGCAGATGCACCAGCACAGGCCAGAATGCCAGTACGAGATCGTTTCTAACCCTGAGTTCCTCGCCGAGGGTACCGCTGTGCGTGACCTAATGCATCCCGACCGTATCCTGATCGGTAGCAACACGACGCCCGCCGGTCTGCGCGCCGCTGCAGCCTTGAAGAGCATCTACACCGCTTGGGTCCCCGAGGCCAAGGTTCTCCTTGTGAACACGTGGTCTAGTGAGCTGACCAAGCTCGTGGCCAATGCCATGCTGGCTCAGCGCATTTCCTCCATCAACTCCATCTCCGCGCTTTGCGAGGAGCTTGGTGCTGACGTGTCTGAGATCAGCAAGGGCATTGGTGCTGACACTCGTCTCGGCAAGAAGTTCCTTCACGCCGGTGTTGGCTTTGGTGGCTCCTGCTTCGAGAAGGATATTCTCAACCTAAGCTACATGGCCCGCACACTTCACCTTGACACCGTTGCCGACTACTGGATGGGTGTCCTCGACATCAACAAGTACCAGCGCGATCGCTTCACCCAGAAGGTCCACCGTGCTCTCAACGGCAACCTGAAGGGAAAGAAGGTCGCCATTCTCGGCTTCGCCTTCAAGGAAGGCACCAATGATACCCGTAACTCCATTGCTGTCCACATCATCCGCGAGATCTCCAATGAGAGGCCGAAGGAGATTGCCATCTTCGACCCCGGCTGCTCGGCTGCCGAGATTATGGAAGAAGTCCGCGAGCACATCAAGGACGAGCGCACGCTTTCCCAGATCAAGGTCCGCAACAACTGGCGCGACACCACGGAGGGCTCCTCCGCCATCTGCATTCTGACCCCTTGGTACCACTTCCGCTATCCCGCTCAGGCCCAGGCCACCGCCCGTCGCACGAGCCTCTGGAACGGAAGCAAGGAGCAGCAGATGGCCATCGCCAACGCCGGTTTCCTCGGCCCTAAGCCTACGGAGATGGACATTATCGATCTCGAGAAGTTTGTCACCCGCGGGAACAACGGCACCGCAGTTGACCCGCTCAAGCGTCTCGTCCCTGAGGACTGCGCTGCCGACTGCAAAGGTTGCGGTCAGACTGCTGCTGCTGAGGATGAGGGTGATGCTGTCGACTGGGAAGAGGTGTCCCGCCACATGAAGCTTCCCAAGCTCGTCCTTGACGGCCGTAACATTGTCTCTGCGCCAGAGCTCGAGAAGCTTGGCTTCAGGGTCCAGGGCATCGGCAAGGGTGTTGGTATGTAAAGAATGAGCAGGAGAAACGAGAAGGAAACGCGTACAAGAACACCAAATGAGCGAAATATTACCCAAGTGTTTGCATCTGCATGGCCGGTCACAAGAGGGACGGGACTGGACACCGTATGGAAGGAAATAGACGTGCCGTTGGATGCTACAGAATACAGAGCAGGAGAGGAAAGGCAAGGAGGCAACTGTTTTCTGGAAAGGCTGTCTTGGCCTGGCACGTCTGTCTTTGCTGTGTGTTATATGCGGGCGTTTCACGGCGATGGCAAGGGAAGGGAAAGGGAGCAATCTTCGTGCACTTGACACATTCGTTCGCATGCATGGGGTCTTGTCCGCCCAGCTTGTCGCCCTGTTCTTCTTTTCTTGTAGTTTGATAGAGGAGGCCGACATGATCTACTTGTGCGGCGAGATGCTGCAGCAGATCTTTCAGGGCCCTGGAGAATTTAATCGCTTGAGACCATGTAGCGTTTGATGTGGCGACCTCAAGTGTGATCCGTGTTGACTGGTACTTGTGGCCACGTCAATTTGTTCGGCAACAACGAGATGTCTTGAGACCCTGCGACTGACAGCCTCTGTCCAACTGGTAGTAGCTGAACAAACTCAGAGAGCTCGATGAGAGAGCAGTGAGCAAAAGTCGGACCCATCACGTGACGTCTGGCCCGCGCCATCCGAAGAACAGAGCCAGACATCAAGCTGGAGAACAAGAGGTAGAGAGGGAGAGAGGGAGGAAGGCCATGGTGACATCGTCTGATTGCTCTTCCCGATGATAGCGAAGGCTGGCATGACATCTGGTTCTCTCTCGTTGGGTATTTGTGTCTTCGGATATCCGGATAAACATCCTTGTGTAAATCTGATGATCCCCTGCTATATCTATGTATGTATTGCTTCATGCCTCTCTATCTATATCTATCTATTTTTCTTTAGATATACCTTGGTTTATGTCTATCTAT